TATGCATTAAATAAAAATATAAGTTTGTAATAAAAAATTTCACATTTTATTAATATCATGAAAGAATATTTAGATAATTGGGCTTGGCTAGAACTCAATATGAATATCACATAAACCCTTATTAATTACGTCCTAAATTAAAACAAAACCCCAAACTCGCCCATTTGAGAACAGAGACCACAAACACCGTGCATGCCACTACAATGGCTGTGATGACATCGCTGCAACAACGCTGATGGCATTGCGCCGAATATTGGGACTCATCAAGCCCAGCTATAGAAGTGTCAAGTGAGACAATGATATCCAATTGTTCTAGATTCTTCACAAAATCCCTTTTCGTCAACACCAAACCTAATTTACTCACATACCCAGCGTTCTCCCTCTCTCGATTTATCTTCATCAGGTTCGTGTAATGGTTTCTGAATCTGCCTCCTCTTCGGCTTTCAAGAAAATCTAGATTCAGAGAGACGACACGATGAGACTAAAAATCTCATTTGCTTGTATGTGCCTCTACGCGTATGTATTTAATCACTTTATCCTTGTTTTCCCCATTTTTTTCATTTCCTTCCTGTTTCCTCAGTTGGGCGGGAAGAGATGATATTTTTTTATTTGTAAGTACTATAAAGTTGTTAGATTTTGATGAACAGAGAAAAGATGATTTTGCTTTTTGACTGGAAAGTTGAATTGTGATCAAATTAATGCTAATCATGCGTTTAAAATTCTGATTTTGCTTTTGTTTCTTTTCTAAGACATCTTTTTCTTTTTGTCTGGGGGGAATATTAAGCAGGCATTTGATGCCTATGTGATTGGGAAAGAAGATGCTCCTGGGATTGTTGTGCTTCATGAATGGTGGGGTGTTGATTTTGAGATCAAGAACCACACCCAGAAAATCTCTCAGTTGGAACCTGGCTATAAAGCGTTGATCCCAAAGTGGTTGAAGTTGTATAAAATGATATAATTTAATGTCTTGACTAGTGTTTTGCTGTTTTTTTTTTTTTTTGGTGACTTTTTTAGTGTGTGTCAATTTTTTGAATACGTACATGTTTGAGTTCGTTTTTCTTTTGTTTTATATGTATAGTTTTTTATGCTTAGGCTTTGGTCTAGCTAGTAATAGTAGTAGTGGTGACGGAGAAAATTTCACTTCATTTGTTAATGAAAGTGATATTATATGTCATTTTTTAAATTAAAAAGTGATATTA